TTCTCAATTTCAATTTTTGCATTTTTCAAATTTTCAAAATCCCAATTAATATTAGTATAAATGATAATATCTTTTATCGTGCTATTCTTAAAGAATTTCTCGTTTTTTAATTTCTGATAAGAAAGGAAATACTTAATTAAACTGTAATCGCCTTTTGTTGATAATAATTCATGTTCTGTTATTTTAATAAATTGTTCTTTCAACTTGTGCTTAACTTGTAATAGACGATAAGTGTTTTTGTTATTTTCAGGGTTGGTATTCGAATACCAAATCATCAAATGCATTAGCTTCTGCTATTTCTGTACCTAAACGAAATGAATAACATGGACTACGATATAAGAATACCATTAAGATTTTTGCTTGATAGATGTGACCATGTATTGCGTTAATTTGTTTCTTTCGTTCATTTTGTTTTTTCGTTTTTTGATTATCCTCTTGTTCAGAATTTTTAATTTTATTTATTTGAAATTGACCCGAATGTTGTAAAGCGTGAACTCTATTTTTATATTCATTATAGTCAGGCATATTTTTTACTGGATTTAATATAACTTTTTTACGTAACATTTTTGCGATACTTATCTAAAAACAAACAAAGTAATTATTAGAATATATTTTGTATTATTTTTATAATTATCAGCAAGTTAATTCAAATTTTTTATCAAATTTTTCACAATTATTCAAATTATTGTTTTTTGTTTTTAAATGAATCGTTATATGAATCTCATCTCAATAGGAAGGGAAAAAAATTCAAAAGATTATTTTCGAGTGAAATAATATAATAAAATAATATATTCGTATATTTTTAAAGTATTAATCTTAAATTCCAAAATGTATTAGCATACAAAATATGTTATAATTGATATATCAATTATATTGATATACAAAAATTAATATTAATTGAAATTTATTAAGTTTATTAAGTTATAAATAATAAGATTTTTAAAAACGATAAGTTAAACGAAATAAAATGAAAATAGAGTAAGAAGAGATTTGGTTTAGTTCAAATTCATTTCAATTTCAAGCTTAAAATTCTTGGAAATTTTGATAAATTTTACAAGATTTGAAAATTTTGAGATTTTCAATAGCACAATATAATCAGAATATAGAAATATATTGAACATAGAAAAGAATAGCAAAATAAATAAGAAAGTTCGGAGCTATAAAAAAAAAACAGATCAAGAATAAAATCTGATTTTGTTAATTATCGATCTATTTTTTTATTACTTCTGCATATGAATCTTTTTCTCTTTTACTTTTTACTGTTTTCTATACTTGGTTCTATTATATACAAGAAACGTATATAAAAATTATATAAAAATTCTTAAATCTCTCAAATCCATCAAATTTTATAAGATCAAAATTCTTAAGAAAGAGAGATAGAATTGAAAATGAATGAATTAACCTTGCTATAAATGCTATAAATTAACCTTGAAAATTTCGAAACATTTCAAAATTAAGAATATTTATTATTAATAAAACGCGAATTTAAATTGTTTATAATTTAAAGAATAAGTTTGAATTTTTTTCTTTATTTTGATCTATAAAATCGATCTTCCAAAAGAATACCAATCCAATATACTTATACTCTTTACTTTAGTCGAAAAAGAGAAATTACTGAAACAAATAAAAATAAATTTTTCTATACTTTTACTTACTTTTATATTTTTTTTTTCACTCTAAACACTTTATTCATTTAAATTATATATATATCTTTGACATTAAGACAAATAATATTGCAAATATAATTAATATTGCAAATATAATTATTAAATTATTGAAATGATCTATCTATTTCAGCAAATCTATCTAGTAAGATATCTAATATCTATATTTGTTATCAATTGATAACAAAATGACTGCCAGTAACGTGAAGACATTGTATGAATATAATATGTTCCATTGTGTGAGATCAATGGCTGTATTTTATTCATTCTCTTTTGACTGATGGGAGCAGAATTATTAAATAAAATTTTAAATCTATAATATATCTATAATAATTTTTAAAATCTGATGTTAAACTCTGATTTGATAATATCAAAAAAGAAAAAATGGTGCGTATGTTAAAATACTTCTTCATGCAACACTAAATGTTATAATTTTGTAACATTGTATAGTACCAAATTCAATATCAATAATTTAGCAATGATTAAAATCGTGAATTCACTATTGTATGAAAACATATTTTATATATTTTATATATTTTACATAATTAATAATGTAACAATCGCATATTATGTTTCTTTCCCTAAGTTAATTTTTCCTTTCTTTACTCTTAAGTTAGAAAATCTAGAGTCTTATATCTAACAATCTAGGGATTCCGTAATTTCCCTATTCTGCTATTCTATGATGCTACAGGCAATTATATTTTCGTATTTGATAATCAATATTGTCAAAAATTGTAGAATCTATTAGTCAACGTAAACATAATTGACGATGAGCGCGGTATCTTTTCTATCACTAAAAATTATTCAATTTCTTTGACAAATTTCCACAGAAGAAAAATACATATCTCTACTGTCATTGATACATTAAACAAAATTACGTCATAATGCGATGCTTCACTTTAGCGAAAATTTAGTCACTTCTGCTTAATGTAAATAGCAATGGCAATAGAGATGATATGACATCATATATTCTTCTGTTCAAAAGTTACTGCAGAGGAATCGAACAATTTTTAATAATATCTCATTCATCAGACAACTGTGGCTAGGTGGAATTTCTTATTTTTGAGGATATAATAATTTATATAGTAAAAATATATAATAAATATAATCGATATATAATATGTAATAAATATGATTATTTATATAATTAATTGAAAAATGGCGGTCATATACATATACAAAAATGTATATGTACAATAATAAAATTTAATAATATCAATAGTATTAAAAATTTTTTATTCTTAAAATCTAACTTGAAAATTAAATGTAATTGTTATAAATAAAAAAAAATCAAAATACTTCTTACAATATAATCAGAATCAGTAAGAAAGGAGGTAATTGGCAAATTTTATACATATGTGAACATTGCAATTCATTTGATATTACTTGGAAAAATATCAAAATATATGTAATAATAACATATCAAATATTTTAATATTTTATAATATCATTATATTATAAATATTATATAGATATAAGATATGTATATAAAATACGTATATACAAAAATTATGTATAATTAAGATACAAAAGTTTTTTTTTAATAAAATAAAGAAATATAATTAAAGAAATAATTATAATTTATAGAATTAAAATTCATTTTAAAAAAATATCCTTAGCATTAAGGATAACACGAAATCAATAAATATAATAGTAAAATATAATATGCATTGATATTAATAAAGGAAAATATCTGTTTCTATTAGGAAAAATTTTATATTAAAAATATTAAAACTTTTAAATACATTCTCAATATATGTTCACGATCATTATTTTCAATAACATTAAATAATGTATTTCGTTGATTATTACAGGTATATTTGTCAATTTCAAATTTACCGAATAATTTTAAAAATTATTTAAAATTTTTTGAGAGAGTTTCAAATATTTTCTATTTTGTGCTCTAATGGTAAATCAGATTCTAGCTTATCTACGAAAGATATTTCTCGTCAATTTTTCGAGTACGTGAGTATAAAGTATATCCTCCAAAAATATTCATATGTAAGGAAAAATATGTAGTTAAATTAAGAAAAATTCATGAAATACTCTTCAACGAAATTTCTAACTTGTTCATTATTCATAATGCAAATAAATTAAAGATATATATTTCTAAAAACAATCGTGAATTTTTTTTTATTTCGCATATCGATATTGTTAATTTTATGACTCAATGCAGATGAGTAACTTCAAGATACAACATATGCTTTCTTTTTTTTTGGTTAACAAAAAATTAATAAAAAACATAAGATTATGCATTAAAAAATCGTTTGATAAGTCAAATTCATGATAATAATATAAGATATTTAATATTTACAAAAAAAAAACAATATTGATAATATTGAATCAATGAAAAAAGCTTATATATACATATTACTATAACACTTATTTTTAGAATTATAAACAATTCAAACTTATATTAGAAAAAGAAGATGGCAAGAGAATAAAAATATTCATTGTCAACTAGGTATAGCAGCACTATATTGTAATATGTCTTGCATAGATATTAACTTTTTAATGAAAAAATGACATATATGTATATATATATTTTATGAGACATTTTCTTTTCTTTAGGGAAATTTTAATAGGGAAATTTTTTTTAGTAATCTTCGTTCTATTTTCGCAAAAACAATTTATTAGTGCAACTTATGTCTATTTATTTGAAATAACTATATCGATATAGTTTATAATTGAAAGAAATATAATAATTTAATTAATCTTAAATTTTTTAAAACTTCAACTAAATAATAAATTAATGAAATAATTTTGGATTTTATTAAATAAATAGATTTAACTTAAAACGAATTTTATAATTAAGTTTCTTTAAAGCACTATTCAGCATTAAGATTATTCCTTATTCAATATTTTAATAAGGATTAAATATTTTTAAATAATTGTCAAATACTATTTAATCCAATTAAATCAAATTATTTTTTAATAATTAATAATAAATTAATTATTAATATAGTTAATAATTAATGATAATTAAGAAAAATATATTATAAAACTATAAATTATATTATAAAATTGAATCCTTTTATGCATCATTATAAGTAACTATTATGCGCTCAATGTTATACAATAATAAAAATAGAATAAATTTGATTGTTATTTGTTGTATGTAAAAATAAATATTTTATATTTATAATTATAACACTTAATTAATACAATTTGTCTACAGATAATTATAGATAATTTATATATTTTTCGACAGTTAATTAGTATTCTATCTTCAAAATTCTTGGTTTTTGTTTCAAGTGCTCTCAATATAACTCATATTTACCGCTCAAAATTTTTATAATATAATACGTCACATTCACGCTACGGGGAGCCACAATGATACATAGTGACATAACATAACACTATGTATTCATGCAAGTTGAATGGGAATGAAATAGTAATTGGTAAATGTGTATTTTGGGCGTTGACCGCTAGTTAATTACAGTATATCATACAATTTCTTTTCTAATTTTAATTTTAATGCAAAGTTTTTTTTAATTTTAATATAAAATTTAATCGTTTTATTTGTTGTGAAATGTTATAAAAACATAATTGGTTTTTGTGTATTATAGAACATGTGGATCTGGATTTTATTAATGTTTGCTTGCGGAAACGCAGAGTTTTGGAATGGACTGGATAATAATCAAACTGGATTTGGCTTAAGAAATTCTAGAAATCCAAATGACAATATTATAATAAAAGAAGCGTAAGTTTTATAGATAATAATAATTAAATAATAAAGTATTAATATATTTATAATTTATAATTTATATTTATAATTTATGTTATATTTATATATAATATATTTATAATTTATATGTTGATTTGTTAATGAATTTATCAAAAAATCAATTTCATTATTTTTAATCATTTTAAAACCAATTATTTATTTATTTATATTAAGTAGGAATATAATACAATTAATTAATTGTTTTTCGAGATATTAATTAATGTTTTATATCTTTTGCTGGATTTGATTAAAAAATATTTTTTAATTGTCAGATTTTATTGATTAAAATAAAATAAAATAAAATAAATTATATAAAGTTAGCATTTTTTATATATTTTGTATTATTGCAACTTATTAAGTTAAGATTGGTATTTTTAGATTCTAATCATAAAATAATATAAAATGATATTAAATAATATAAAAAAAAATTAAATATTATCCTATAACAATTTAAGTAATATTTAAATAAAGATATTTCAAATTAAAAATATAAATATAAATTCAAAAGTATTTTCGAATAATTTTTACAGTACCTACTTTGTGGTTGCATCTCGAATGGTTAGGCCAGGACAGATTTACCGATTAGATGTAAATGTTTTATATAGTGTATTACCAATGATGGTACGTGCATCCATTCAAAGGAATGGAGTAGAAATAGCTGCAAATTTTCAAGAAGTAAAAGAAGGCATTCCAGAAACATTAATGATGAGATTACCACCTACATCTGTCAATGGAGAATATAAATTAAGAGTGGAAGGAACATATAATAGTTTAACTGGTGGTCAAGCATTTTTAAATGAGACCAAACTTATATTTTCTCAACGATCAATGACAATTTTTATTCAGTTGGACAAACCAGTATATATGCAAAAAGAAACTGTGAGATTTAGAACTATACCAATAGATACTGAACTCAAAGCATTCAATAATCCTACAGATATATATATGTTAGATCCATATAGAAGAGTAATGAAACGATGGTTAAGTAGACAAAGTAATTTAGGAACAGTATCCTTATCATATCAACTTTCTGATCAGCCAGTTTTTGGAGAATGGATTATACAAGTAATAGCACAAAATCAAATAGAAGAGAAAACTTTCCTAGTTGAAGAATATTATCAAACACGTTTTGAAGTTAATGTTACAATGCCAGCATTTTTTTTTGATAATGATCAATATGTACATGGCATAGTTCAAGCAAATTATACTAGTGGTGCACCAGTAAGAGGAAATTTAACTTTAAAAGCACGTGTCAGATCATTAGATAGAGCATATACAGAATCTACTTCTGAACCTGTAGAAAGATATTTTTATTTTGATGAATATTATCCTGCATGGTTGAAAGTATCAAATTATTTAGAAAATAAGATTCCTGTATTAAGATTTTTTAATGGAACTTATCATTTTCGATATCCAATGTCAGAATTATTAAATTATGTTCCAACTGCAAATGGAGTAGAAATTACTGTAACTGCAACAGTTGGCGAAAGATTCTTAGATGAAATAATCTCAGGTTACTCTATGGCTCGAATTTTTAATTCCACTACAAAGATACGATTTTTAGGTGGATCACCGCAAGTTTTCAAACCAACAATGCCATTTACTTTAAATTTAGTAGCGTCATTCCACGATGATTCGGCATTGAGACCAACACAATTAAAAGGAGCTGTAATGGAAATTCGGGCAGATATCGAAATGAGAGCAGGCGGCCACAGAACGCTAGAAACTCAATATTTAAAACATTTGCAGGATAATGAAGGCATTTGGTCTACAAGAATTGATTTAAGAAAACAACTTGGACTTGATCATAATGTAGATCAAGCACAACAAATACTCAATGATATCTCTTCTATGAAAGTTTTTGCTTATCTAACTGATGGAGAAGGATTTAGAACGCAAACTGAATTATTGTTATTGGCACATGAATCACCAAATCAACAACATATAAAAATTTCAACATCAACAGAGAAACCTAAAGTTGGGGAATACATTATATTTCATGTTCAAACAAATTTTTATATTGATACTTTTAATTATCTCATTATGGCAAAAGGAATTATACTTTTAACGGGACAAAATATTATGGAAAACAATATAAAAACATTTGCTGTTCCTCTAAGTGCAGAAATGGCACCTGTTGCAACAGCAGTTGTATATCATATTGGGCAATATGGTAATGTAGTAGCTGACTCTTTAACTTTTTCTGTAAATGGTATTTCACGCAATAACTTTACCGTATTTATTAATAATAAAAAAGCTAGAACAGGCGAAAATGTTGAAATAGCTATTTATGGAGAACCAGGAGCATATGTCGGTCTTTCAGGTATAGATAGATCATTTTTTACCATGCAAGCTGGAAATGAATTAACATATGCTAATGTTATATCAAAAATGGCACATTTTGATGAAGATACAAATGGAACTCATTCCCATACTTGGATATATCACGAAGGTGATCCAGATGAAATTGTTACTTTCCATCATCAACTTTTGGTATAGATGCCAATAGAACATTTGAATATGTAGGATTAATAGTTTTCACAGATGCTTTCATTTATCGAAGACCTGATAACTGTAATGTAACTCAAGGATATGGAGAATGTCTCTCTGGAAGATGTTATATATTAGATAAAAAATGTGATGGAGTATATGATTGCGATGATGGTACTGATGAAGCAGCTTGCGAATTTAAAAATGCGACCGATATTGCATTATTTAGAAAATGGCGATTTAACAGATTAAAAAGACAATATGAAAATGTTTGGTTATGGAAGGATATTAATATAGGACCTCATGGTAGACATATCTTCAATATAGATGTGCCAAGAAGACCAGTCCATTGGATGGTTATGGCGTTTAGTATGTCTCCAAGTATGGGTTTTGGTATGTTACCAAAAGCCATTGGATATATGGGAGTCTTACCATTTTACATTAATGTTGAAATGCCTACTCATAGTAAACAAGGGGAACAAATTGGTATCCGTGTTTCTGTTTTCAATTACTTATGTCATAATATAGAAGCTGTAGTAGTTCTAGCTGATTCCAAAGACTATAAATTCGTTCACGTTGAAGATAATGGTATTGTACAATCATATAAACCACGTACATCTTTTGGTGAACATCAATTCTTTATTTGGATTCCTGCTCAGGATGCTGCCATTGTTTATTTACCTATTGTACCAACAAGACTTGGAGATATCAAAGTACATATCTATGCTACTACTGTAATTGGAAGAGATTCAGTTACGCGTAATTTGCACGTAGAAGCTGATGGTCTTCCTCAATATAGACATCAGTCTATTTTACTTGATCTTAGTAATCGCGCCTATGTATTTCAATATATGCATGTCAACATTACAGAAACACCTATTATACCATATGACGAAAATCGTTACTATGTATTTGGATCAAATAAGGCAGTGATAAGTTTAGTTGGAGATGTCGTTGGTCCGATTTTCCCGACTATGCCTGTTAATGCTACAAGTCTCATGAATCTTCCTATGGATTCTGCAGAACAAAATATGTTTAGTTTTGCCGCTAATTTGTACACAACTTTATATATGCGTTTAGTTAATCAACGTAATAGAACGCAAGAGAAAGAAAGTTTTTATTATATGAATATTGGCTATCAAAGACAACTTTCTTTTATGAATCCTGATGGATCTTTTAGCTTATTTCGTAGTGATTGGAATCAATCTTCACCAAGTGTTTGGTTAACAGCATATTGTGCTCGTGTTTTACAAGAAGCACGCTTTTATGAATGGGAGAATTATCTTTATATTGATCCCGAAGTAATAGCTCAAGCAGTGTCTTGGTTATTGAAATATCAAACACCTGAAGGATCATTCTATGAAGTTACGTGGTTACCCGATCGTAAAATGAACAGCTCTCTAAATTATGATTATGATATAATAACTCATAGGAATATCAGCCTTACAGCTCATGTTCTAATCACATTACAAAGTGTGAAGGATTTACCTGAAGGACTGGGAACACAAGTTGCTGTAAGTGCTGTAGGTGCAGTGAAATGGTTAGAAAGAAATTTAAAATTATTGGAGGAACGTGGAAAACCTTACGAAATAGCGATAGTATCATATGCTTTATTATTGGCAAAAGCTTCTACTGCAGGACAAGCATTTAATATATTAGCTAGACATGCTCGTAGAGAAGGAGGATTAACATATTGGGGCAGAGAACAAGTGCCTCTTCCACCTTATAAGTTAGAAAATCAAAAACCATTTCTTCTACCACGTTTACCATATATGTATGATTCAGAAAACATCGAAACCACTGCCTATGCTCTTCTGGTGCATGTTGCTCGACAAGAAATAATGATAGAGCCTATAGTAAAATGGTTGAATGCTCAAAGACTGACAGATGGTGGTTGGGCTTCTACGCAAGATACCGCGTGGGCGATGAAAGCATTAATGGATTATACAGTCAGATCAAGAATTCGAGATGTTAGTTCATTAACTGTTACTGTCGAAGCTACAGCTCTTCCAGGACAGACTAAGACATTGTTTGTCAATGATAATAATCTTGCAAGGCTTCAAACTATTGAAGTAAGTTCATATTTAAAAATTAAATATATTTTTTTATTAATATTAAATTCTATTATTGTAGATACCAGAAGCTTGGGGAACAGTAAGAGTACAAGCAAAAGGTGCTGGATATGCAATTCTGCAAATGTCTGTTCAGTATAATGTAGATATTGCGAAATTCCAAACACAACCACCTATAAGATCTTTTGATCTAATGACCAGAGCAAATTTCCATGGCAGAAATCAATCTCATATTTCATATCTCAGTTGTCAAAAGTACTTCAATTTCAAATACTGTAATGCAAATGCAAACTTATTTTATTAATTTTTGCAAAAAATGTTTTTAGATGGATAAATACAAATGAATCTTCGCGTTCTGGTATGGCAGTCTTGGATGTAACTATTCCAACAGGATATATAATTCAACAACAAACTTTGGATACATATATCAGATCAAAACAAGTGAGAAATCTTCAAAGAGCACGATTCCAGGAAAAGAAAGTTCTCTTTTATTTCGATTATTTGGATCAAGAAGAAACGTGCGTGAATTTTACTATAGAAAGATGGTTTCCAGTTGCAAATATGTCACGATATCTTCCTATCAGAGTTTATGATTATTATGCTCCAGGTATAATTAGATAGAAAAATATAATTTAATAAACAGAATAATTAACAGAATATAATTAATGAATATTTTATATTAAATATAATAATTTTTAAAATTATTATTCGTTATATTTTTTTTTTCAGAACGTTTTAATGAAACTATATTTGATGCTCTGCCTACTTATACACTAAATATTTGCGAAGTTTGTGGAAGTTCTCAATGTCCTTACTGCCCGATTTATAATACTGCAACGATGTTAGCTACAACATCAGGTTTTCTATATATTGTTTCTCTTTTAGTTGTTGTAATGAGATATTTTCGCACACAAGAATTTAGTATAAGTTAATTTTGATATTTAACAGGTGATAATTTGATAAAAGAGTGAATAATTTCACGTTTATATTTTATTAAACATTGCCATGTTTTTTTCGACTTTTATTTTATAATGTCTTTAATACTAGAACTACTAATTTATAACATATATTATATCTAAATATACTATACATAGTATAGTATAGTATAGTATAATTAAAATTAAAATTGAATTATAAAAATAATTAGATATATATAACTACAATTTTGCCTGAATAAAAATCAATATTAATCTTTTTACATATATTATTTTTATTAATTGTAAAAATAATTAATTTGACTGATTTGATAGTTCTAGTATTAAATTTGTTAATTAACTATTTTGGTGCAAAACTGAAGCAATATATAAAAAAGATAAGTACACGCGAATAAAAGTAATTGATGTAGTTTCAATTAATTTTATTTGTACTTATTTTTTATTTATCATATTAACATTTTATCAGATCATTTGTGAAAAAAACCGTCCATGTGTGATTTGTTAACGTATATTGGAAATTTTATATTTAACAAACGTAAAAAAAAATGAAGAAAAAAACATATTTTTATACATTTTATAATATTGCAATAATTTAGATTTTATGTAATTTAAAACGCATATCACGTGTTTTTATTCATATCATTAATCAATGAATATGAATGTATGTAAATATTTTTAAGTATTATTCTATATATAGTTTTTAAAAGATTCAAAACTGTAGTTAAAGCAATGTGTTCTAAGAGGCAAAGAATTATTAAGTACAAATGAAACATAGTAGAGACCGAGTTTTTTCAAGTAAGGCACATTAATAAAATATTTTTATATTTTGTAACATTAATTTTTAACATAAATTTAAATTTAAATTGATATTAAAAATAATGATTTTCTTTTATTTTAATAAATTTTAGAATTTTAAATTTTTTTCATAATCATCAATTTTCGATGATTTTGTTTGAATCTCTTTCTGTTTTTAGTTTTATTTAAAAAATTTTCAATTTTTTTTGTTCCATTTATAAAGTTGTGTGCCTGTATTAAGTTATTTCTAGAGAAGTCATATAAGTATTATTGTTCTATAAGAAAGCTTTATTTAAATTAGGCATTTGCAACTTGAAAAATTTAAAATAGTGTAAAATTTTCGTAAATAGTGCCTTCATAATATCTTTGAACACTATTATTTTATATTTGAAATGATAGATTAGAAAAAATCAGATTTAAAGAAATTAGATTACAAAATTAATGTCATATAATAACATATGAGCATATACTTTTTCAAGTAAAAAAAAAAATGTATTTTGCTTGTATAAAAAAAATTTATATTCTTATGTATAGTTATTTGTCTGTTCGAACGTCAAAGATTTATTTTTACAAATGTAGTACATTTATAGTAAAATGATACATTAAAGTACATAAGGTTTTCAAAAAAGAATGTTATATGACTAATACTTTAAAGATATGCGATATAATTATGTATATAATTAATTCATATAAATATATAATAGTAATCTAATACAGTAAAATCTTCATATCCGCAAAGGATTCATAAACCTTCTGCGGATACCGAAATTCGTGAGTAATATATGTGTATATATATATATATATATATGTACACATATATATGCTATGCATGTTACTTATTATTTTTATTTATTATAAAGTTATAAATATTTATATGATATTATGAAGTTTTAGTTATTTTAATTATTAGCTTTAGTTATAATTGGTGTTGGATTACGTGGATATATTATAAATTAGATATTTGAATGCAAATTTTTAGGATCTTAATTGCGGATACGAAAGTTTTACTGTCATATTCGACTTTTTTTTTTTATGAAAATAAAATAACTGTCTCGTTATGAAAAAAAAATATATATATATTATTAAACAATTAAATGATTAAAATTTTGTTACAAATTTTCAAAAAGTATTGTAGTATATGTGACGTTAATAACATCATAACAAAAATCTGTTTTATAATGAAATAATGAAATTTATATATAAAACAGTAATATGTTATTAATTTATCAATATCGATTTTATTTTATTATTTAAATCTTGATATCGTTTAAGTATAATATATTTACATTATACAATCATAATATACATTAAGTTATTTAAAAATTAAATTTTTATAGAATCGATTGCTCGTTTACACTATCCGTCCATAGATGTATTTAAAACATTAAAAAAAGGTAACATTTAATGTGTATTCAAAAAATTTTTATGTTTTATAACTTTTGTACAAATAAATATTAAAAAATTACTTTATATTTGAATTTTTTTATTGATTAAATTTTACTTCTTAAAATGAAAATCTTAGTTAAAATTGAAATTAAATTTTAATGTGAAATCATAAATGAAATAGAGATAGAATAATGAGAGAAAATATTTTATAATCTTATATTACTAATATTTTATAATTTAAAATCTTTTATTTTTAATTTGCTAAAAAAAAAAAAATATTAAAATAAAAAACAAAATATTTTAGTAAAAATAAAAAGTTCATTTTAGAATGATAATTATATTTGTATTATAAAATAAAAAATCTATTATAAATTTAATAAAAATCTATATAAATTTTCTTGAAATATTATAGTAAATAATAAAATTATAAAATATATGTATATATGTATATGATATATAAATATTAAAATATATGTATAAACTATTGTTTTAAAATAATAAAAGATTTTTTTTTGCATTTTTAATTTAACATAAATTAAAACTTTTATTTTACTAATACTATTTTCAATTGATTATTATTGGTTTTTTTAACTTGCAATTATTTATAATTATATATTTTTATATAAAATAACATTTAAAATATTTTAATAGAGCTATATTTTTTACGCTAATAAATTATAGAATTAATAAATTAAATATTGAAAATTATAAATTTTAAATATTTCATATTTTATTTTATTTTTAATATTTGTTGTGCAATTCATATTCATATTTTTTGTTTGGAGTTTACAGAAAACTATTTGTGTTATTATCAATATTGATGCGTGTGACTTTTCCCACCGAGGTACGTTTACTGAATAGCGTCATTACAGGTTAATTCTATTACTATATAGCAACCGTGTTCGATTTCACATATAATTTAAAGTTGCATGTAAAATATACACATTTTATTTGCGAGTGTGATAATTTATGCATTTTATTCGTTTATTCGTTTGTTATTATTATGGAAGTGAAGCTGTGTTATTGTTTCAGTGTGTTAAGTTCATTTTTGATTCGGATAACATGTAAGTCTTTTTAAATATAACATACAACAAGCATAGTCATTACAAATATTTTGATATTCATGCAAAGTAATCTTTATTTATTATTTATCTTTATCTATTTAGATTAGGTTAGATTTTTCAATTCGTTTTTTATTCCTGTTTCAATTTTAATTTTATATTTTTAATACTTTAATATCTCATATTTCTTAAATGTTTACATTTTCACGAATGGAAATAATACATAGAAAAATTTAGTTGTATGAGATCATGACATTGCAATGTAAAATAAATTTCAATTATTTTAAATATTTAATCCAATATTTAAAAGTGTCTTATTCAAAAAAAACTGCAAAATGAAAAACGAATTTTAAATTAATATAAAAATATGAGAAAAAGGAACAGCAATACGTTAAAAATCGATGTTCAATAAATTGAAACATGATCACATCATATTTTAACTTTATTAATAATATATTTATAAGCTATATATTAATTAGCTGTTTTCGTACGATCGTAACTATATAGTTTTTTTGATATCTTGAAATACATCAAATTGATTACTTTTTTTTACCTTTTATCTTTTTCGTTTCGGATTAGCGAGTAAGATTTGAGAAAAATCTCTGGAATTTAAAGCATCATGCAATCATTGATTGCATTTTGTTCCAAATCCATTAGTTTGCGACGATGATGTCTTAAATATTGAAAATTTTGTTTTTTATCTCTATTAGAATCAGAAGGTTAATCAAAAATAGATTATAAAAGGATATAGACGATAATTTTAATCGTATTAAATTTTTTAAATTAAGCATAAAATGTTACAACAATTATTTTAGTGAATTTAATAAATATTATTAATATAATATTTGTATAAATGATACAATATTTAGTGAAGTAAATTAAATAAAATAAATATTGTCAATGTTTCATGTAAATGTCATTATTATTATTCGCGTTTCCATAATTAAAAATTTGTTTTAAAGAGATATTTTATACAGATTTATATTATATTTATTTAATTTATTTGTAAATAAATTTTTATATTTAATTTTCTTATTATCGTTTTCATATAATGTATATTTAAGTCGTGTGTTCCTTTTGTTTTTTAGTTTTAATTAAACAATAATAGAATTAAATAATTCAAACAGTTGAATTATTTAATAAATTAATATTTTCAAAGTTTTTGTTCTGCTTTTTTTAAATTTTAAAGTAAATTTTGTAAATCAAATATATTTAATATAAATTTACAATACAATTTATGATTAAATTTTATGCACACTTATTTTCTTATGTTCTTTTTAGGTAATCATACGCATTTTCTATGTATTAATCTATAGAAAAATTATTAATACTTTTTAAAAATATAATATTATATATTAATATATATTTCTTTATAATATATAATATAATATTTCTTTATAACTTTTTGTGAAACATTTGTCTGAAACATTTTTTCAATTTTTATCATTTGTATGTATTTTTCTAAATGAATGTTTTCAATTTAATTGGACATATTGGTATTATAAAAATAAAATTGATATATATATGATATATGATAAATATGATATATATATATGATATAATATGACATATAAAATATAAAATATGTAAGATATATATAAAATATACATATATATTTTATATATATGTTATATATATGTTATATAACATCTGTCACAAACAATAAGTAAAAAATATGTGTATG